GAAAACCCTGAATTGAATTGTAAGAAGACATTGAATGCAGGGTTGGCAATCACAGATGGTCTGGTCCAGATAAACTGTTTTATGGGAACATAAATCAGAGTTGCCTGGAGGACTGCTAATAATGCAGACTCCTGGGTCCCACCTCAGGTTACTACTCCAGCTTTCTTGACACTAGGTCACAGAAGTTTTACTCTAACAAATTTCCAGATGACACTGATGATGTGCACTGGAAATTTTTCTTTGAGGACCAACCCAGGTAGAGTCTGGGTTGAAGGAGCCCCTCGTATGAAGACTAGAGGGCTCTGTGCTTGGGTCATGGGGACAAAGAAACTTGCCCCTGTCAGCACACATCCTTCAATGTGGGTGTAAGGACTATTGGAAAGAAAACAAAAACAAATCTCTGAGGTATTTAAGGGATTCCAAATTGGTACCATCTTTAGGTATTTCAGAAAAAGATAGAAAATTAGCCCTTGAATCAACTTCAAAAAACACTCAAAAATAAAAATTCAAGAAACATGGCAACGGAATAGACAAAGTTCAGAAGGCAATGATGAATGGTGGCTTTGCAGAAATAATAAAGTGCAGAATCAGAGTCGTCAAATTATGGAAATTTTAGGTGCAGATTATTCTAAAAAGACATACACACATGCAAAAAAGAGATTACCAAAGCAAACAGAAAAAACAGATATATTAAAAATAACTGACTGGGGCTGGTGAGATGGCTTGGTGGTCTGGAGCACCTGCTTGGAGCAAGCTTGACAAAGTGAGGGGACCGCGGTTCAGTCCCCCAGCACCACATGCCAGCTGGGGCCGCCCCCTGGTGGGCTGGGCTGGCTGCACGCGCGCGCACACACACACACACACACACACACACACAAAATAAATAAATAAGTAAATAAAATTAAAAAAAAAAAAACTGACCACCAGACTGAACAAGTACCTCTCAACAATGACAGAATTAACAGGATTGTTGGAAAATATCTTTAAAATATTCCAAGAAAATTATTATTATTATTATTATTATTATTATTAATGTATTTGGTGCAGTGTCTGCAGGGTCTACAGGGTCTCACTACATAGACTGGACTCACAGTGACCCTCCTGTTTCAGCCTCCCACCCGCGGAGATTTCAGGTGCACACCATCATGCCCTGTCTTAATCACTGTCTCAGTGCTCCCTGGGGGCGGGGCGGCACTGCGCGCCAGGGATTGAACCCTGGCCGCTGTGCTCTGCCTAAGCAGGTTCTTTAGTCCACTTAGCTATCTGGATGGCCCCATTCCAAGAAAATTATTGCTCACTTTGAATTTTTACCCAGAATTATTGCTTTTGCAACTTACAAATAGAGGTCAATACCAATATTTTCAGGCAAACAAAGCTAGAGGGACCTTCGCTGCAGAAGCAGCTGAATTTCTACTGAAGGATGGAAGAAAGAGTGTGTGAAAGCATGGTCTGTTAGAGGTGTTAAGTTTTCTATAATAAAACTCTTTCAGTCTCTTATTTGGTGAAGTAAAAGGAAGGGGTCTCAATTGTTGGGAGCTTGAATTAGTGCCAGTGACAGTAAGCAGGTGTTATGGTTTGTGGCTAGATGTCCCCAGAAGCCTCATGCTGGCATGGGACACAGGCTTTCAGGGGTGGCTGAACCTGGAGTTTGTGATCGATCCATGGCCCAGTGCTGGGAATAAGGTTGTGAGCAGCACAACTGCCCTAGGGCAAGTAGCCTGCATACATTATGAAGGACAGAAAGATGCTTGTCCCTTCCCTCTCTCTTCCTTGTCTTACTACAATCTGCCCACTGTGAACTGTTCTATGCCATGCTACCTTGCCTTGGAGCAGGCCAGTTATGGACTGAGACCTCTACAAACTGTGCTAAATAAAACCTTTTTCCCTTAGCTTCAGGTGTCAGGTATCTTGTCTCAGCAATGAGAAGAGTTCTTAAAATACCAAGCTGTTACCAAACAATTCTGTCTGCGGCATGCTGAGTCCCAGAGAGCACTATCATTCATACCAGATGATGGTGGAGCAGTGGTCTGAAATTATTAATAGGTTCATTATTAGTAGTTCATGATATTGCAGAGTGTTGAAGTATAAAATTATAATCAAAATAATAAAAACAAAACTTCACTTTGAAAAGTTCACCACAGGGAAAACAAAAAAAGGTTAGAAATTGTTAAATTCCTAATTTTAATGTTCAGTATTTCAGCAAGATATTTACTAAAGTAATAAGGATTCATTTGAGGCCGTGATGCTGGCAATATTTTCTGTTTTTTTTTTAAATAATAGTTCCAATTTCCAGAAAAGAGAAAGGGAAAAGGAATAGATAAGCTTTGTCATTTCTAGAAGAAAAAAATTGAGACAGTGTGTGACTTTAACAAACTGCTTATACTTGGGCAAGTTAAAAAGCCATTTGTAACCTGTACCGTTAAAAACTGTGCAGAAGAAAATTTGAGCATATGGTCTCCAAGTTCTTCTGGATTGAAACATAGTTATTATGATTATACATGTTGGAAAATCTAGATAAGTTTGTCTTCTAGGACCCTTTTGAGAATGTGTATGTAAGGTAAACTCAGGCAGTGAGTTTGTGAGAAGCAAGGCAGAGAAAGTTGAAGGAAGAGAGGAGTTAAATGAGGACAAATGACAGAATATTGAGCTGAGCGATCCATAATAAGCTTCTTTTGCTAAAAAAAAGAAAAAAGTGAGAGAGATAAACAAACTAGAAAAACTGATAGATATCAGATAGGAGGCAGCCCTAGACTGGTCGTCCCTGCGTCTGCCCAGGGACTTGGACTCCATCTGCATACCCAGTAGGAAAGCATGACTGTAACTCTCTGTACTATGACAGGAAGTGAAAGGTATAGAGTGGCACAGTGCATGAATTCAGGTACATAAGTTATTTTGTCAAAATAAAAACACCAATACACAATAAGCACCCTATCGTGAACCATCTGCTGTAGCCGGTGAGCCTGTGCTCCTTTTTCACTCCTTCCTCAGTAATTTCTACTATTTTATTTGCCTTTGAAGCCATCTTCAGAACAAAAGCACAGTTCTTATGTTTCTGGAGAGGGCCTAAATGCCTACATTCCATCATGATACCACTGTCAGACTGTCTTGATAACATACCTGCAGTTTTCACATTTCCACCTGAGACTTCCTGATTCATGGCAGATTCACAGAGCACATATTTAGAGGAGAAGAAGCTAAATAAAGTGACTGATTTAGGAAGTAAAGGAAAGGGCCACATACTGTAAGGAGTAACTCGGAAAAATTCCCTTCATAATTGAAGGTGACAGAACTGCTACAGTTTATTGCTAACTCCTGAGGCTCAGTAGCAACTGCAGACTTAGACTCTGGGCAACCACCTCCCACACAGGCTACACAGTGGATGGGAGCCACTCATCAAGGTGGTGCCTCTCTACAGAACAGATGTTGCTTTGTCCTTCATTTGTGTCCTAAACATGGTCTTCAAAAATTATCCTAGAAAGGACTTCGATATAGAAACCTGGACATCCTGTCTACTGTCTCCCTCATACACTAACCAAGCTCACCATCTTGCATTTGGGAGAGCTGCTGGCCTCTTTGTGCTTGCAAGTCTGCTTTCTCTAACACGAGCTTCCTGGGCTGCTTACACCCAGACAGCTGAGGACATCTTGATTTGCTCGTGAAGGAATAGAGGTCAAGTATTTTAGATTCAACAAGGGGCCAGAGTGAGCAGATGCTGTGTTTTATTGGCATTAGGAATAAAGCTAATGTTTGGAATTCCACCTCTTCCAGCCTTATCTTCTCTTGGTAGTTCTGATCCAAAGGAGGGCATCAGTAGTGTCTTTACTTATCCCCTGTAGCCCAACACACACACTGATAGTGTACTGCTATGGGAGCATGGGTATCTTTTTAAAGAAGCTCCTGCTTTGACAGAGGTTACCTGAGAGCACTTCGAGTTGTATTTTGGGGATCCACTACAGCACTGTGTCCATACCAGTGCTTCCTTCTTCCTATGATGCCTGATGGCAGTCACTAATCAAGGGCCCAGCTATTCCTGCTCGACACAGGTCTCTCTCTATGGTCAGTTAGACTTTCTGGAGGAACTGGGCCAAGCCAGACTTTCTGAAACTGCTGCATTCTGAGGATGTTCCTAGCTAATACTCTGTCTTGCTCTCTTCATGAATTCCAGCTCAGTCTGCTTCTCCTTTGCCTTTGACCCTAACAGGCACCCATCCAATAAACACTTTTCACTTCTACCTCCATGGTGCCATATTTCTCCCTCAACACCCACGCTGACAACATCAGTACAATCATACTCTTCATTTCACTGAGGAAGAGCTGCAATTCCAGACAAGAAAGTAGAATACATAAATATGCTCACTTTCAGAAGTTGATTTATACGCTTGAGATTGAGGTTCATTGGGTAAAATACCTCTCCCCATATTTTAAAAGTAAATGTGAATAACATATTTGAATGACAATATCATTTCTTCATAAAGGTGAACCTAGTTAGACCTGTCCACCAGTTGCAAGAATAAAAAGATATCCTGGCTTCTAGAAAATAAAAGAGAACAATAAAAATGGGAAACACTTCCAGCACCCACTGCTAAGATTTGATTCTGAAAAGACTGCTATCTGTGAGATAAACAAATTATAGCAATAAACATAGCTGCCACGCTGACCACCACGAATAACTCTTGACTTTCACTTTCATGTGGTTTAAAAACATGGCTTTTAAGTATTGCCTACAATTTCTTGCTCCGCAGAGATGGAAAATATGTCAGATGAAGAAAATGGATTTTTAAAATTCATTCTTTTACCTAACAACAATCATAACAACAACCTCAAATCTGATTTTTACATCCTCAAATACACAGGATAATAAACATATCAGGAAAGGATAATAGTTTCTCTGTGATTTTTGAGCCCTCAGGAATGTGTGAACATGAAAGTATACACATAATTTAAAAGTTAAATGAAGTTATTTTCATGGTATCATTTTCTGAAGGAAAGATAGGACTTACCTTCGCTGGAGTCTTTTGAACATTCTGGTTTCTTTGCTTTGCTCTTCTTGTGGGGTGGAGAGAGACCTTTCGGCTCTAGCCCTTCTGGAAGAGCAAAGATTGAATATATTCTCATTTAAATATTTACTAGTGTGGCTTAAAATTGTGTTGAAGTTTAAAGATGTTTTCTTCTTAGTAACTCCCCTCACACATACACATACTGAGTCATAGTTGCAGTTTCATCTGTCATCATGCCTGAGCTAAATTTTGGCAAAGACCTGTGATTCTCCCACCTACATATACTTAAACTTAAGGCATGAGCTTAAAAATTGTTTTGTAGACATCATTAATAACTCATACAAAAGTTAAATCAAACACAAGCAGTTTACCATTCTCTAGAGGGCTACCCCAAATTATTTCATTTTCTCTAAGAGAACATGACTTAGAGCCTCATGGATTAATCAACACTTGGCATTGCATATTTCCTGTTGCCCAGCCCTCAAAGTAGAACTGGATGAAAGGCAAAGTCATCTCACTTTTGAGGGATGGACTGGGGCTTGAAATTATCTTGCCCCTTTAACAGGCTTCCTTAGCAATACAGAACTTAAATTTCCATGTGTCCTCAATTAACCTGTGCGCTCCCCAATTTCACCGCTACTCCTCCAAGTCTATCCATGATGGCTTCTAAAGTGAACCCTACACAGTTTTAGGAAAACGTCTCTAAATCCATTATGTTCAGATGTAGCACATTTTGTTAGACATCAGTTCCTATATCCAGCCCTAATCTTTCCACTGAGTCCAAGATCAATTGCCTACATAGAGTCTTGCTCTGGATTTGAAGTTGGATGTTTTCTTGGGCCACTGCATATGGTTCCTCTGTCCTTGAGCATCACTTTCTGTCTATGCTCTGGGACATGAGACCCTCTGGACTGCATAAATGAATTCTATAGCTATGTCCAGCCAGTGGGATGCCAAGAATTTTGGCTTTTTAGAATCTTCAAGTCTTCTCATGTTGCTGTATCCTTCAGCCCAAAGTCAGAACCCCTAACAGTTCAACCTTCTCCACTTGGTCCTCCTTCTAGCCCTATGGCTTCTTTTTATCTAATTCCCATCCAAGCATTTAGCACTTAACACCATCCAGAGCAGTATCCTTCAGGTCTGCAAACCTCCCCACTATGCCACACCTCAAGCAATGGATGATATACTGCCCATGAAGGAATTTACACCCAATTCCTCCTCAGTTACTTTTCTGTACCAAGCAATCCCATAGGCTTTGCTCTACTTGACTCCACACACTCATTTCCTGTGCTCAGCCCTTATGACATCACAACCATCCAAACTGGCAACATCTCTTCCAGCTTTCAATAATAGCCTAAATTTTAGCCTCTAACCTCCTGCTAGCTCTCTTCCACACAGAGGCAAGTATGACCTTTCAAAATATTAATCAGATCATGTTGCTTGCCTCTTTAAAAATCATTACTTATAATAAGAGCCTAATCCAATTTCACAGCCTGGCACAACATGTCTCTTGGGCCCAGCTCTGGCTCTACCTATATCTTACACTTGCTCTTTGGCTCTAGATTGATTCGCTTCCTTTGCATCCCGTAGTCATAGCTAGGCTGGCTCCTGCCTCAGGACATTTACACCTGCTTCGTAGCCCCTGCTCTCCAATACATATATTCGTATATCCTTCACCCTTGGACTCTCAGATCAAGCCCAGCTCTGAAGAAAACTCTCCCCTGATTGCCTGATCTAAAGGAACCCTACAAAGGCAGTTTCTCTTAAATAGATCACTTGTATCTGAATTATCTTGCTGTTTTGTTTATTTTTTTCTTGTATCCAACCATACCAAGAAGGTTAAATTCTGTGAAAGAAGAAAAAAGCCATTTGTTTTCCCTAAATCCTCTTGCATTCTTGATGCCTGGGACAACCTTAAAATTTTATTTTAAATTTGATTTTATGTTTGCATTGCCCAGGCTTTTAAGGCCAAGATAAAACAGGGCCCAGTCCTAACTCTGCCTCTCTTAGCAGCTACTGTCTCATGCCAGGATTCTAAAATTATGCTGTAGAGTTATGGCAACTCATGTCAGTTTTCCCATTTATTAAAAAAGGAGCAGAACAACAACAAAAAATCCCCTCACTCTTGATAGATGTGCTATTGAAACCGCTGGCGTGGTAGCCTGCAAAGGTTTCAGGAATGGGCTAGGTTCTCTGTGGCTGCAAGTCAGTCACATCTCAAGTCATTACCATGGCCAGAGTGAGAACCTTTGCCAATGACTACATTAGCGACCCCCCCGACTTCTGTCACCAGGTGTGAGATGTATGTTGACCCTTGGAGTGGGTTCAGCAAAAACAGAAATGAGATACGTGGAACAGCTCACTGAGCACAAATACCGGGCTCAACAAGATTCATAAAATGGGCAAGATGACATTTGTGGGCTTCAGGGAGAGGATTCTAATTCTTCTGTGTCCCTGAAAGATGACATCTGCAACTGGGACCAAGAAGAGAGTTTCCAGGCCTGGAAATTCAACTTCCAACCAGCAGGTATTAGGTAATTTGGGCATTTAATTCCTAATTCGTGATTTTCTAACTGAATAGGAATTCTTAGGGAATGAGTAAGATTTAAAATGAAAATGACTCTGCCACATTTTAAGATATTTGAACATCCCTAAAGTATGATATTTCCTTTTTGCAAAAATTTAAAGTGGATCATTAGAGGGTGGGAGGCATATGAATTGCAACATCATCTATGATGTAAGCATTGTGTTATTTTCAACACCCAGCCTGGGCATTCGAATGAAAGTCATTCAGAGTTTTGGCCTCTATGCCCATGTGTCCATTTGTGGCTAGGCAAGGGCAGCTCTTCCACTTGGCCCTCAGGAAGAGCTCATAGAGAATTTTTTCTGCTCCTTCTCCAAACTGACCATGCTTCTCTTTGACAGTAGGTTGCATTTTCTAGGTTGCCCCTGTTCCTCGCAGAGTGGAGACCTGTAGTGTTGCCACAAGCATGGCTTTGTCCCCTGGGGCACTCAGCTGTGTACCCAGAACTGTGTCTTAGCTGCCATAGGTGCTTGCTGATTTTCTCTTCCTACTGGCTCAGCCTGGAACTGATATCAACACTGCCTAGCCATGGGAATGCAAGGGACTGGTGAAACATTTACCATGCTAGGACGCAAGGACTTAGAAGGAGTTCTGGGCATTGAAGTCACTCTCTTTTGCCACTGTCTGACACCATCTGAGGTGTGTCTGTATCTATTTACTCTATGAGTCTGGAGACAGATATGAGAAAATTATGAACTATGAGCTCAGGCAAGGGATCAGGCAAACCTGGTTTCAAATTCTGACTGTGCTATTTAAGCAAGAACTCTTTCTGCTTAAGCCTTGATAATAACACAGAATTACTCACACATAGGAAATGAGTTCATGTGTGCCAGCTGATTGGCACAGAGTACGTGTTTGATTGTAATCTGGCTTAGCAGGGGTGTGCTGATGCAGACCTCCACTGGCTCATACCAATTCACAGGACCCTTTCTTGCCAACTCTCACATTCATTGGTCTCATTTTGGTAGTCCGAAAAAGACCATTGTAGGTGGGTTTCCAGCTTAGAAATCTGCAAACTTTCCATATGAGAGTTGCCTCTATTCAGAGTCAATTTCCATCAACCACTGGTTTTAGCTATTTGTTATTCACTATCATTCATCAGCATTTCTTGGCAGGTTGATTCACTTGAGCGACTCTTCATCAGTGTGGACTGCAATCTTAAAACTACCTCCAGCACTCTTATTTACCTGAGAAGAGGCGATGCATGACAGAGGGATAGGGGCAGAAGTTAACAGTCTTGGAAAGCTGGCTTCAACTCATCCAGAGATTTTTATGAAGCCAGCCTCCACATATATATGGCAGGGCCAGCTGGCTTCCTGGAACCCCACAATAGAAATTCCCCATGATTTGGCTCCCAAATACTAGGAAATGGAGTGTTCAAGCCCATCCTGCCTAAGCAGCTTAAGATCTTGGGGACATTCAGTGCTACCTAGATAGCTGTGTCCAGCTGCTAGAGACAAAACCTTCAGGAAATCTGGGGCAAATAAAATCAGAAAAGATGATCCTACAAATACCCTCAAACCTCAAACATTGTGAAGTTTGCATTAGCGTTAATAATTTTCTTAAAATAACTCAGTAGTTTGGATAACTACTCAAATATCATTATGAAATCAATTCCCTTTGCACAGAGATGTGTACTTATGACACATAGGCACATGACCCATGGCAAGAAAAGCTTTTTATATTGGGTGGTGGGAGGTTAGCACCTCTGCTATTGAGAAATACTACAAGCCACTTCTGCAAGTAGGAGAAACACAAGCAGTGAAGATCAATATTAAATTTGTATATTCTAATCTGTAGAGAGTGACCATTTAAGGTCTTTTATCGATTTCAAAGTTCTTTTTAATGCTAGGGCATTCTACGAGGGAATATGAATTGAAATTTTCATAGAAAATTAGCCTTCTGCTTCTCTGTTTACCAAAAGCAAGTGGAGTTCTTTTTTTATGTTGGATTCTTTTAGATGTAGACGCTGAGACAAAGGTTTGAATACAAGCAGTTAATTGAGAGGTTATCCCAGGAAGCATCAGAAAAGGCAGGAGGGAAGTGAGAAAAGAACAAGAAGGCTGCCAAAACTGGGTGTATTAATGAGCAAATCTCACTGGGAGTCAGGGAGTGTTTCCACTGGAGAGCTTGGGGGATGGTATAAACTCAGGATGCCCAGTACCAAGCCACTAGCTGCACATTACTGATGAGTACTTGAAATGCAGCTAGTCTCATTTCAGTTGTGAATGCAAAATACTCACCAGTGTCAAAGCCCAAGTATTGAAATATCAGATTAACTATCTGATTGAAATGATATCTATAGATGATACACTGGAATTATAATATTTTGGATTATGGCAGTATAAAAATACTGTCAAAATTAATCTCACTAGTTTCTTTTTTAAATGCAACTACTAGAAAGACTAGAATTTTACAGGAGGCTCACATTGTATATCCTCAGTTATATATTTGAGGACCGAATTACATTTCATGGACAGTACTGGACTAAAACTTGCCTCACATGTGTCCTACCATGCTTTTGATCACCAGCTCTTGTCCACTACTGATGGCAGGGCTGCTTCAGATAAATCATTACCCTGGTACTTTGAATTTGCTTTCATGGGTAGAGATAAGCAGAGCTGTGAGGACTTTCCTTAGAAAGTTGATATTGTGAAACAGTGGCAGCCCAAGGGACGTGGGTAAGGTACCAAGGGCTACTGGTGGTGTCCCTCTTCTGTCTCCTTCATCCTGCTTCTGAGTTGCTGGACCTCTACTTCTCATGCTCTCTGTATCTTCTGTCTTTGCAGGGAGCAAAGAGGAAGCTTGCAAATCAGTTGCACTTGGATGAGAGGAAGTATAAGCTCACATCATTGTTTCAGTGAACTTTTATAAAGAAAAAGAACTGATGTTATTTTTGCATGAAGACAGTGAATGGTAAGGGTCAGGGAGAGAAATTTAATTCAACAAGGAGCAGTCCTCTTTTTACCAACCCTTACCAAGTGTGACCAACCACATCAAAATTTAAAGAGCTCCCTATTTGCACAGCTGCTTAGACTCGCATTGTCACTGCTTTGTAGGGGGCTTTTGAAATTGAGTGAGAGGGACAACAAAGAATCTTTAAAATAGCTATTTTAGTTTTGAAGCCAATCTCTTTTCAATGGCTACAGCAGTGTGTTTGTTGAAATGGGAAATATGGGGGTGTTAACTATAGAATTAAATTCTATATTCTTCCAATATTTGTTAGAATAAGAGAGAAAAGAAGCAATAATTTATTGAATCTTCACTGTGGGTCAAGCATTGTGACAAACATTTAAAGTATGTATCTCCTTCAGTCCATCAAGTGAAGCACTGTAGGGGTCCTTAATGCTGTCAGAAGTGTAAAATAAGGTTTAAAGAGAGGACACTTTCTGAAGGTCAGTCAGCAAGTGGTGTAGTTACACTTGAATCCAGATCTAGCAATTCTTGGATTCGTTGTCAGGAACATATGGAGTGACCTTAGGCCAGAATCCAGGGTTTTAAGCTTTGGCTTTCCCTCATAAACAGTGGTATTTCCAGAGGAGTTGTCACACACTTTTATGTCTGAGCAGGAGAACATGTCCTCCATACAACATATATTTCCCATAGAGGGCTGCAGTGAAGTTTAGGGCCCACATGTTTTGTGGGGCCACTCCCCATCAAGAGATTTGGTCTATTTTTATTTCCTCTGTGTGTCGGTAGGCTTGTGACTGTTTCAAAAAACAGATCTTCCTGGAAAGGATGCTATGAGGCTTCTAAGTCTGCCTCTGAAAAGGGGTGCAGCTTCTCCCTGACTCATTCTTTTGAGTCAAACGGCTCTGAGGAAGCCTAGGCCACATAAAGGGGTCAGTACAAGGACTTCAGAGAATTGTTCACAACTAAGGCTTTAGCTGGTAGCTGGAAGCTGGAGGCCATCACTGGCCAGCAAGTGAGTGCATGGATTTCCAGGTGGGTCCCACTCCTAGCTGTTGAGACTTCTGGGTGAGCCTCTGCCTGGTGGGACAGGATGATCAGATCATCTCTGCTGTACTATGTGACTTTCTCACATACAAACAGGATATGTGAAGATCATAAGTGGCTGTTTGCAGCACCAGGATGTGTGGGTGATTTATTATACAACTCTATTAACTATGGCATCATGTTATATTTTTTTACCTTAGCTGTCAGGAAGCTCAAAATCCAATTTAAATGTATTAACTGCATTTGCCTGAAGAGTTAGCACAGTGCTTCCTTGTTTTATGACATGGAGCATATATTTTTGTTTTATTAACCTTATTTTGTCTTTTTTGAAAAAATAGGGGTTACACATTCACCAAAAACTGACCCGTGATTATTGCAAGTAATAAGATTAAACACTTAATACCTGATTCTTCTTTCATGTCAACGTCTTCTTCATTATTATCATCTGTTAAAATAAAAGAAGATAAACACAGACCCATATAAAAGCGGCAGACACAAGAATTTTCCATTTGGGTAATAAAATAAAATGAGGAAAAAAACCCAGAAAACAGGCTGTTAAGCTGCTGCACTCAAACCATAACATTCTCCTCTGGGTTCCTCTAGCAGCCTCATTGCTAACAGTGTTCTCCTTCATCCGTTTTCACTGCCACCCTTCAAGGCCAAGCTTAGAGTCTCTGATGGAGGCAAGCAGATGTTAAGGAACTGATAAGAGGTAGGTAAAACAGAGGGAAAATATCTACGAAGTCTCTCTAGAGCATCTGGTGATTCAGGTTTGGATGAACAGTGTTCTTTTTGGTGTACCCTAATTTCAGTACATCTTATATCTGAGCATGAGCTTAAAGGACAATTGGGCTTAGCTCTCCAAAGTGGTCCCTTAACCATCCATTCTCTAGGCATGTGATCTTGGAGGAATTGCTGAATCTCCTGAGGTTCAGATTCATCAACTGTACAGATGGAAAATAATGCCTATTGCTCAAGGTTGTTATCAGGATCAAATGAAATACTATCACGCAAAGCTCTAGGACAGGTACTGAAACATCAATAAATGCTCAGTACTATCTTGAATTACCACAAAATCACAAATCCAGTTACTTATCAACATATGTCTCCCATATGCCCACTTCTAGTTCATGTATTCTACTACAAGAAAGACCATGTCTTATGTTCCTTTGTACCCCTTAGTACCTAATGCCACTTATTTCATATAATATAATCCATAAAGACATTGCCACTGAATGAGCCAACCCCTTCTAACTATGCAGTCTTGGAGTCTTGGATAAATAGCACAAAATAGTATAATGTATACTTCATTTTTTATATGAGAAACAAAGATAATAAAGCTTCCTATAGTTGATTACACATATCAGGAATGAGCACTAAATACTACTTATTGCTTTTATGACATCACTATTATTACTTTCATTACTTTGACAACAATTTACATAGCTTTATTATGGGCAAAAATGATGCAAGGCCCTGATGATACAGATAAATGGTTCCTTTCCTCAAGAAAATCATAAAGTAGATGATATAGAAAGGTAAAAAAAAAAACTGATTAGAGCTGAAAGTCACAGATCCTCTGGTGCACAGCAGAGGTTCTACTGGGGAAATGATGCAAAGCATTTACGTCAGAAAGTCATCAACAGCTCTGCAGAGGAGGGGATTTCATCCAAGTCCTAAAGGGTGCGCTGGATTGAGCAAGTGAAAAAGAATCTGCAGGAAGGATGCTGGCAAGGTAGCTCAGTGGACTAAAGTGTCTTAGACAAGCTTAGGAAAGCACAGGGACCATGGTTCAATTTCTGGCACCACATGCTGTGCCAGCCCCACCCCCAGGGCAGGCTGAGCTGTCAAGAAAGTAGGAATAGTGACGAACACCTGCAATCCCAGTGCTGGGAAGGCTGAAAGCAGGAGGATAACCATGAGTCCAAACTGTGTAATAAACTCTGCAACATCTAAATATATTTAAAAAAAAAAAGAATCTGCAGGAGATGCTCTACACCTGCTGGTTGGCTAAAACTTCAGTACAGATGCCAGCCTAACTTATAACCTCCCACTTCCAGTCCTTTGCCTAAGAGCTCAGCCCACTTAACAAATATCAGGGAATGACATCTCCCAGGGCCAGTTTTGCTGTCTGGCAGGATGGGCACATCTCGCTGGCCTCTGTTCATGCCCAACTAGATGGCTGCTTGGGCTCATTAAAAAATATTCCGAGGTTCTTTCACACTATCTCCCTCAATGTCCCTCTCCCATTGGTCTTAAGCCCTGGATGTCAGGCTTTAGCTGGTGTACCACTTCATCTTCTTGCCTTTCCTCCCAACCTCGACTCACTTCCTCACTTTTCCATAGGTGCTCCCTGGAATCACCTCCCAAATAAATGTTTCCACTTAATCTTTATTTCATGATCTTATTCTTAGGAAACTTGAACCAAAACAAGGGTGATCAAACCAAACAGAGGAAAAAAAAAACCCTGTGAATAGTCAAGAGGCTTCCAAGGAAATGAAACTAGTTTTGAATGGCTGATTAAGGAGTTATATGAAAAATCATAGGTAAGGTCCCCTTTTCTGTGTGTTAGTCCATGCCAGATGTGCTGGTTGATTTTGTGAGCCTACATGACTAGGTCATATTGGTACACCAACATTCTGGGGTACCTGAGAGGGTATTTCAGAGGAGATGAAAATCTAAATAGTAAAGAGTAATACAGATTTCTTTCTTCAATGTGGGAGAACACCAATCAACCAGATGTCGTCCTGGACAGAACACAGACCTGACTCTCCTAGCAGTGAGAGGGATTCTTCTATCTTACTGCTTTTGTGCTAGGCCACTGGCTTTGTTCATGCCTTTGGTTTTTTGGTCTTTTTTTAAAAATGTGTTTTTGTTACAGGGTCTCACTATGCAGCTCAGACTTGTGGCAATCCTCCTGCTTTCAGCCTTCCCAGTCCTGGGATTGCAGGTATACACCACTACGCTGGGACTCTGTGGCTGGCTCAGACCACCCTAGGGGTAGGACTGGTGTGGCATGTGGTGCCAGGGATCAAACTGTGGTCCCTGTTCTTGCCTAAGTAGGTACTTTAGTCCACTGAGCTATCTTGCCGGCCTCTGTTCATGCCTTTGTATTCAAGCAGAAACAGTGGTTCTTGTGAGCTCTCAAGCCTGCGAGTGTTCAGAAAACAACTATACAATCAGCTCTCTTGTTCTCAGACCTTTGGATTTAGGTTGAAAGGACACCATCAGCTCTCCTGTGTCTCTCCACCTGCCAACCAAGCATCATGGGACTTGATGGCTTTCACAACCACATGAACTATTCTCTATCTTTTTTTAATTCCTATTTGTACATACATTTTTCCATTTATACCTATTGTTTCTGTTTCTCTGGAAATTTCTGACTAATATACCAAGTTGAAGCATTAAAACTTTATCCTGAGTTATCCATTATCCTAATGGTGGGAAATACCATATTTTGAAAGACAAATTTTTATTTATTTATTTATTTATTATTTGGACAGTGTCTCACTACACAGATTGGACTCCCAGTGATCCTCCTATTTCCAGCCTCCCTAGCACTGGGATTACAGGCCTGTGCCACATGCCACGTCTCAGGTGGCTGGCTTAGGAGGGGCTGGGCCTGCATGGCATGTGGTACAAGGAACTGAACCCTGGTCCCTGTACTTGCCTAAGCAGGCACTTAGTCCACTGAGCTATCTTGCTAGCCCTTGCAAGATAAATTTTTAATGACAGAAATTTACTACAAAATTATAAAATGCATGCCTTAGTATTTTTGTTTTATTCATATTAAAATCACGCAAAGATTAAACCTGGTCTGGAAAATGCCTAATATATTAATAAAATCCACTTTAGTACAGCATTATTCTATAGAATTGTTCACTTGAGTCCTATTTATGCAAAAAAATTCTAACAGGAGTTTTTGCCCAACAAACGCAGAAACCCAAAATACCATATATATAAAAAGATGATAGCCCATGGAGCTGGGGAGTCATGCCCCTCAAAATCTGGAAGCAGCTCAGAGACTGATGGAGCGTGGGCAGCACTGCTGCCCTTTTCAGCAGTTCTTCAAGCATCAAGCTTCTTTGTTAGAGGACAAAAATGAAATAAAAGGTTTCTAGCCAAAGCGATACAAATACCATCACAGAATAGAGAGCCATCCATCAGATTGTATTATTCTGTGTACTCAGAAAAGCCAGTTCCAGAAAATCCCCTTCTCTTCCCAGACACAGGCCATACAGAGGCAAACACATCCCCTCCTCTTAAGGGCTCTTTGATGTTAATTTCATAATGGATACTGTTTTTAGTTACTGCATCAGTTACCTGACAGAGGTTGCCTTGATGAGTTGTGCGCAAAACACACACATATTACTCATGTTCTTATTTTGATCAAGAAAACTGAAAACTAACTAGCTTCTTATGAATAATTTGGTTTTGTATATACACTTCAGAAGCCCCTTCATAAGGTATGGCATGACTTACTCTGAGATTTGTAGTATCTATTTTGCCTTCTTTTATGGAGGTAGAGTTAGTAGGAATGATTTTCATTTTTAGTCAAATACACATGCTTTCTGAGATGTGCCTCATTTCTCACAACAAGTAGTCCACACTTTTTCTTTTGTGGCCAGCTCAGCCTGCCCTGGAGGCAGGGCTGGTGTGCCGTGTGGTACGAGGGATTCAACCGCAGTCCCTGTGCTTGCGTAAGCTTGTCTAAACCAGCGCTATAGTCTGCGGATCTATCTCGCCAGCCCCTACACATGTCTTTTCCCTACACATTTTTGAATAAGGAAGTATTTCATAGGTTTTGAGATTTTCTTGTGTTTTTCTCTTGGATTCCCATAATTAATGTAGGTTTGGGGCAAGTAGAATGCACACACATACACCCCCCCCCCAGAACTTTCCTCGAAGGCAGAATTTCTCTAACTGTGCTTTCTGAGTCAACAGCATCTTTATTACTGGGAAATGCGGCAGGAATTCAAATTTTCTAGTCCTCAAGATCTACTCAATGAGAGTCTCTGAGAGGAGAGCCAGAAAGGTCTTGGTTAGGCCTCAAGTCGACATTTATGCACACTGAAGTTTGAAAACCAGTGGTCTAAAACACTGATGTTACTGTGTTGGAAGGTAATCTTTCAAAGATGTAGGTGTTTCTACTTTTTGATATCTGAGATGATTGAACTCATAATATCTCACCAACACTATTTGTGCAGGATGCCCATGTGGTGCTGAGGTATAGCTGTCCTCCTCATGAGATAGTATATGCTTTATTCTGTGCTGGAAACCATGCAGCCACCTTGCAGATGGTTGTATGGTGTCATTGTCTACAGCCAGGATAGTGAGAGGGGTTAAGAGACAAGTACAAATGTAAAGACTAACTGAAACAGGCATGCAGTTCATGGAAGGAGTTGGGTGTTACAAAGGAGAAGTTATCCTCATGCTACCAAGGCT